AGGAGTAGTAGTAGTAGTAGTTGGACCACGGTGCATAATTCGCCGTGGTAAAATACGCATTTTTTGACCATTGGAGGGGTTTCGCTGGGGTTGGGTGGGGTGGGGTGACCCCACCCCACCCCACGTCATCAACGTAGCATCAAGAACGTCTTCCAAGTTACCTCGACATGTCTTGTCGACGTAGTATCAAGGACGTGGTCGTCAGGACGTTAATACACCCCCCGGGGTGGGGGGGTGCATTAACATTCTGACGACCACGTCCTTGATACTACGTCGACACCTAGACCTCCCGAAGATGTCCTTTTCACACTGTTGAACTGCTAGATTATGAAAGTTGGCAAATTGACAACTTTGTAACTTATCGTGAAAATGCACAAAGCAGCTAGCTGCAAAGCATGCTCAGCAGAGCTACATGAACTTGTAAAATCCAACTTGCAAGCTGCAAGGCGCGCTCTGGAGAAAAATAAAGTGGTAACAATGAAATTGTTACCACACATATACACACAAATATACACAAACACTCTAAACACGATATATTTCTATGTGTATATATAATTATATATACGCATATATTCTGACTAAGTATGTACCTAACTAAAATGCTTACAAGAGGGCAATTGAGAAGACATCATGTTTCCTTCAAGTTTGGGATTTACCCCCTACATCCCCCTACATCATTCTAACAAAATAAACAAATAGACAGTTGGTTCCACCACATTGTTCCCATGTTTCCTGCATTTAGTGGTTCAACCCGTACACGGCTGAGGATTCAAGTTAGAAGTAAGAGTTTTGTAGAGTGTGTAAAGTAAGAAGTGTGGAGTGCACACTTCTACACTCTACACCCCACACTCCACACTTCTTATTTTTCTGTTTATTTTTTGTCTTCGTACCCATTTGGCAAACCATCACCGTTTCCCTGTCGATACGGGTTTGCTGGGTTCATCTTGGAAAATTGATCTTGAATTCGGTGCCCCCACATTGTTTTCACCATGTCCCGAAACAAGTTGGCATCCGATGTGTTGGTTTAAGATCCTGACAAGGGAACATACTCAATAGTTCACATTCTCTCGGGTGATGCTAGGTATAAAATGGTATAAACAGGTTTCTTGTCACCTAGTAGCAACACAAACCATACATTTTTGAAAACCGTGCTCCAAACATCACCAGAAGAAATGTTAAAAGAGGGCTGTGCTTTTCCCAACTGATCTAATCAAAGGCTGATGGCACCAAAATAAGTAAAGCCGTTTTTTAAAACTTGTTTCCGGTGGTAAACTTTGGCAGGGTACATCCAGCCAATTCCGACGCCACTTTTTTCCACTGGGAGAGCGGGCTGGGATCAGTCCGGTCGCTCTTCATGAAGCCCGGAAACCAAGAACAAGTCCAAGAGGACTCGGTACCGGTGCAAGCAGGTCTTCTCCAATGTAGAAGCATGACATCTCGAAGCAATTTTTGCAAGTTGACCCATCAAGGATTCATCAGGGTAGCAATGTTCGTACCTGGAATTGTGGGGAGCTTTTGTCAACAAAAAACATTCCTTTTGGCATCAGCTTTGTTCCAACCAACACACCTCCCCCAGATAAAACCGTGAGTTTGGAAACACAAGGGTGGATATTTTTTGATACTACCAGCCTGGGATTGCGTAGTGTTGTTTCTATGTATTCTTGGAGGTGAAAAAAGTAATGGAACTTTGGGACAATCTTGTAGTTGTTTCTCAGCTCACCTCGGGATCGAACTGCCAATGCCTGATAGAACAGCAAAAAACTGTAGCCATACTCTTCAGTGCGGTTTGCTTGATCTTGCTCGAACCACTCGCTGTGGGTGTCCAACATGAACTGGAACATTGCCAACGCATATGAACAATTGCGACGGTTGTCGGAGTCAGGCACTGCAGGCTCACTCATCAGAAAATCATGCAGCCAGTACTGCATGTATTTCACAGTGCTTGCCTTATACTGCGTGGTCAACTCCGGCATGGTCTGCCAAGACTCCCTCCCAAAACGATTGAGGTTGAAGCGCACACTTGATGCAGGAAGGCCATTAGACTTGCACCAGCCACGGTAATGCCTGTATGCTGAGTAAAGGCACCGCTCCAATTCAGCCAAAGTTTGCCCAGGATGTTTGGAGTTGAAATGATCTGTCAGCAACCCAGCTATTGCACATAGGCTCACTCCCTGATGCAATGTGTGAAGCAAATCCTGTGCATGGGGCACACCGTGAAGCAACCCTGCGTACAACACATATTCGTAGTAAACCTTTTTTCAACTTTCTTTCTTTGGAGGAAGCAAGAAAAGAAAAAGTAAACACCCCTTTGTCCTCAAGGTTGCGCTCTTTGCGCCATCCAGGCACTTCAACCCATGCAGACTGTCTGTTGGGTGGATTCAAGTCCAGGAACTCTTGGTGAGAGAATCTAACACTTGCCCATGGGGCATTTTTCCGAAAATCAGCGTAGTTCAGAAGCTTTCCTGCAGGGCAATGCTCACAAATCATATTGGCCATATAGTTGCGAATCATTTTGTGTATCTGTACCCGCGCTTCCAAATCGCCTTTGAATGCTGAAAAACAACAGCGCCATCCATCAGCAGTGAAATACTGTCCAGCCCTCTTGAACTCCATAGAGTCAGGTGCCCAAGCATTTCCTGTCCAGTCAAGCAGAGGATACTTTCCAGTCTGCAAAGTTTTGCAGATATATGCAATGATTTTTGCCATAGTGTCATGTGTCTGGGGTTTTGCCAATGCTGCGTCCCGAATAATTGCCAGCACAGTCTTGTTTTCAAACGAATCGCCCTTTTTGCGCACCATAGAAGAGTAGCTGTAGACCCAAATCTTTTGGTTCTTGTAAATCTTCACTCCATCGGCATGCCAGACTAATGGGACGGTCTTGTCAGGCTGACTCAAATCCAGCGACTTCACAAAGTCTTGGTCCTTGAGATGCCGCCAATAGTCCTGGGATTCTTTATGAAACTCAATCCAAACATTCTACCAGCCCATGGCTCTTTAGAACAGTATCGGGAAACACAACACCTTCCAAGATTTGAAAGAAACCATGGGGAACAAACAAACCAAAGAATATACAATACACAAGTTGAAGAATTTAGTGGACTCTTCTTTAAACCATGGGAATAAACGCAAAGCTAACTGACAAATCAAAATGAGGAGCTAAACATTTCATCCCAGCAAGCTCAGGCTTGTCAGCTATCCAGCAACCCAAAAATGCAATACTGTCGCGCCAATGAAATAGATCCCAAGGCCAAAGGATAGGAATCGATCTGTCCAGCACTTCAAGTTGAGGACCGTCAGGCCCCTCCAGCTCCAGAAGATGTGGGATAGACACTTGACCCATAGGGATATTGGACCACTTCTCATACCACCTAAAGGGATCTCAAAAACAATGCGCCTCCCAACACATGATAACGCATGTAAACCATACCTTTTTGAACAGAACACCAAACCTTTTTGCAGGGAACACTTGCACTGGGTCATTTCAAACCATTTGCAAAATTAAAAGTGATGTTTGAAAAGCAGAACCTCTCAAAGCTTCGCTCTTCGTGTCCGGCATCTCCAGACCATGATGCAAGTAACGCTGCTAAAGAGCAATTGGAATTGTCTGCAAGTAGACCTTTGGCATCTCTGCATGCTTCTGCAGCGGACGTTTTCTGAAGGGTTTCAAGATGAGCTTGAACACAAATGCATGCTTACTTTTGGAAAACAGTTGCATTGGTACACAATCCCAGGGCTCCATAGATTGGGAAACAATGTAACACAACTTTTCATAAACCAGACCCCTATGCAAATCTTCTTCAATAGGCGACGTGCGGAATAGGAAGCACCTTTGACCAATTCCAATCCTCAGGGGTCAGGGTTTTTCCCAAAAGCTCCAGAAGGGTTTTTCCAAAAAGGCTCCCCCTAATGGGGTTTGTTTCCCAAATACTTAGTAGCGCCATCACCTCTTTGGGGTTTTATTGAGTTACTACCCTTTTTGGGCAACCAGCTGAATGTTATGTAAGTGGTTTCCGTCGAGGACATCATAAAACTGGTGAAACACTATATCACCCATTGAGTGTTTAAACCGTGTTACTAAGGAACACATGACCCATTGTATGGTCTACTTGAAGCTATATATCCCAGATTCATTTTAAAACCATTTAAAACCGATTACAGGGAACACAGAACCCAATGTAAATGGTTTGATAACTCACCTTTTCGGGGTATACAGATGCATGATTTTGGATGCTTTTGGTAATGCTCAATGCTATATAATATGTACATGATATGCATATATACTTTTTAAAATACATATGAATGTATACAAATATATGATGGCAATATATCCATCTCCCTGGGGAATCATTTGAACATATATATAATTATATATATCGTGGTAATATACCCATCTTATTGGGAACTCATTTTAATATCTATATATATATATGTGTGTATATCGATGTTTGGATATTATATCCATCTTATTGGGGAATCATTTTTATATATGTATATAGATGTTTTGAATATATCCATCTTATTGGGGAATCATGTGAATATAGCAGGATAGATGTATAGTTGGAATATATCCATCTTACTGCTGGATCACCCAATTTTTTCCCCTTTCTCCTTCATTGCGGAAAGCTCGCAACTGGCCCTTTGAGGTGAGTCGATTGCGATGGCCTGGATGCTCTCGAAGATGACAAGGAGACCGGGGTCTGGAGCGAGATCTTTCGGCCCTGCGATGGGAGCGATGGGAGGCTTTTCCCACTATGATTCCCGAACCGTTTTGGTAGGAACAATGTTTGTGATTAAGATGGTTCCTTTCCGATCAAATTCCCATCTATTATAGTGAGTGGGTATCCAAAATATCATCCAATGGGATTCCCGAACAATTCCTGGTAGAAATCAATATCACCTGATTTTTTTGAACAAGACATTTCATAGACCCTTTTTGGATGGAATCCCTTTGGTGGGTGGGCGACAAATGATGCTATCATCCCTTGAACCCAAACCTTTGTGGTTTAACCCCATTGCTGGTGAGTGGGCCAATGCGTAGCATTCCATGCAATAAGAATTTTTGAGAAGAGGTGAACTGTTTGTGGTTAGGTCATATCCGTGAGACCCCCAATTCCCAATTTAATTTTATTGGTTGGACCAGCTCTTTAGTTTAACATACCCAGTGAGGCTGCCAAACCTTTCTTGGTGTACAACACACTGTTTGTGGTTGGCCATAGCATTAAACATTTTTCACCGCGCGCGATCACCTTAATGTCACCGCTTCGCCACACACAAATGATCTTTAGATCATCCAAGTTTCAGATTTGCTCTTGCTGCTTGCCACTTGCAGGTAATCCCGCAAACAAGCATGATACCCAGATTGGGCCACGTAGCCATCTAAGATGCCGGACCATAAAAATGGACATGGGATGAATCAACACCGTTTCCTGATCTCTTCTAACAAGTTTTGAAACTATTGCGAACATAAGTTTGTTTTTTAAAAATGAACCCCCCATCCAATTGTTCTCAACAGCACCAAGGCTACACAGGCTACCCCAAACCACTAATGTCATCTGGTGATGACCATCGAACGAAAAGTATACTAGCTCAGGAAGCAGACTTCTTCCTTTTCTTGCCTGTCTCTGGACCTTTGCTATCGGCTTCTTTGGCCTTACTCTCATCTCCTTTGTTTGCCTTCTCAGCAGCACGGATCAGCGCCTTGCCAAGCTCCACTTTGCTCTTGGCCAGCGCATTGAGGTTTGAAATCTGCAGGGCCAGGAAATTGAAAACCTATGGGACTCATGACATGGTGTTTCATTCAGTTTGATTGAACCTGTTTAAGATCATGTTACTTTCCGACATGTTAGCTCTTTTACTTCTGAATACGTTTGACTTTTTACCCCCCGGTGTGTTAAACTTCTACATGCCCAATATGTGATATTTTATTCATTCTCCATATCTTGATGTTTATCACCCCCGCCATGTCAACCGTTTGAATCCCCGATATTTCGAGCCTCCTGCATCACCGGTGTGTAGTGCTTGAGCTTCTGCTTGTCCTCGTTGAGCAACTCCTGAAGTCGTCGTGCTTGCTTCTCCAGTTGGTTCTGCAGAGCTTTCAACTGGCTGATGAGTTGGTCACTCATCTCGAGGGGCTTCAAACGGAAGGACAAATCCCTGCGCCAGCAGGGCAAAGAAACACTAAACAACTCTTGCTTACATTTTGGACATCACCTAAAGCCCGTTGATGCATAGAACATAGATGCTTTTTTGACACAACCACATAAACATAAACACAGACCTATGTCAATAAACATAAACCTGCACGCAGAAACATCCCTTGATAAAAACAATGCATTTCCCAAACCAAGCCTGCACGTGTTGGCATCTTTCAACACCTTTGTGATCAATGCCCTTGCCTTTGCTTGAGGGGTCTCAGCTTTCACTTCTTTAGCTTCTCCAGGTTGGTCAGGGTCTTTCGAAGCACCTTTGCCTCGCTTGTTTTTGCCTTTGCTCTTTGCATCACCGACTTTGCCAACCGAACCCATGAAGGTGATGGCCTTTGTCATGCCCTCCTTGTTGCCCATCTCTCCTTTCAAAGCCCCGGAGTCAAGGCACCCCCCAGCCTCTGTGAAGGCCTTGATCATTTCCTCAGAGACCTGCCCCTTTGCTTCCAAGCTTGTCACCCTTTTGAGCTCATTGATGTTCTTCAGGTCGATGTCGATCAGGCAGAAGTAAAGGTTGTCCTCTGGCTCCTCGGGGTCTGGGATCAGCAAGCCAAGGTTCACTTTGCGCCCCATGATGCGCTTCGCTTTTTCTTCTCCATATTTTTCATTCAGCCATCTCTCGCTCCTGAAGCCATATTTGACTTGGCTCTGGCGAGACTCTGAAAGGCTGGCCTCATGCTTGCAAATGATGGCATCCACATCGCCACCACACTTCACCCAGTCCACGAACAACTTGGCACGTCCATCTTCGGAAGTGAGTCTACTTCCAAGGACTGTAGGAAACCTTTTGCCATTTCGGATCCACCGTCGGTATCGAAGATACTCTTTGTGGTGAGTGCTCGAATTGATCTTGTCATCGCTGCTGCTATCTGCCGATGCTGTTGCCGAAGTAGGTGAGGTTGTAGTTGACGAAGACGGTGTAGTGGCACTCTTTCCCAGCTTGGCCTCAGCAACTTCCAACTTGCTCTCTGGTTCTTTCTTGCCCTGCTTGTCCTTTGAACGCTTGGTCTCCACATTCTTTGCCTTCTTGCCATCCTCCTCCCTTCCTCGTTTCTTTTCCTTGCTGCTTGTCTCACATTTGGTCACTGCCTTGTTGTTCTTCTCACTGGCATCCTTTTTCTTTGGATTGCTCTTTTCATCCTCCTTTTTCCCATGCTTGTCTTTCTTGCTGATCTTCTGGTTCTCCTTCTTGACTGCCTTCTTGGTAACTTCGGGCTCCTCCTCAGAAACCTCGCTATCGCTGGCCTCAGAGTCACTGGCCACCTTCTTCCTCGTGCCAACTGCCTTCTCTGGCTTCTTGCTGACGACCTGTGGCTTTTCCTTTGCTTTAACTGTTTCTTCATCGGAATCTACATCGCTTTCCTCAGGCTCCTGTTCCTCTGAGCTGCTTTCGTCTGGCTTCAGAGTCTCTGCATCTGAACCTGACTTGTCATCAGAACTGGATTCCTTTTCATCATCAGATTCCTCAGCTTCCTCGCTCTTGTCCTCCTCCTCTGATTCTGACTCGCTGCTGTTCTCGTCGCCTTTTTCTGATGCCGAATCACTGTCTTCTGCATCCGCTGCCTTGCTTCCGGACCCTTTCATCATCTCTTTGACGAGCCTCTCAGCCTCATCTTCCGACATAGCCGAAGTCTCCTTGGTTTTCTTGTCTCCTGGAGGGTTCTCAGCTTTGATTTCAACCTGCTCATCCTCGGACGCAAAGCTGAGTCTTCGCTTCGCTTTTTTCTTTGTTTCCTTCTTTGAAGAACCGTCCTGGCAGGGAATGGTGCTCCCCGGAAAACAAAAAAAATGGTAAGTGTTTGGAAAGTAGACTGGTCTATCATTCTTTGCTGATATATGTGCCAATTAGTTTTCATAAGTATATTTGCATATAGCCACTTGTAAACAGCTGGGCCCCATTGAACTAGCTTGCACGCAACAGACCCACCATACCCTTGGCTCCTCTTTCGACTTCAAAATCGGTTTTGGACTTGGGGTCTTAACCACAGCAGAGTTCTCAGCCTTTAAAGCAGTCTTTGCCCCCTCTGGTGCTTTCTTGTTTTCTCTGAGCTTCTTGGCTGCTTTTTTCAACTTCTTTGGGTTGGGAGACGGCCTCATAGCTCGACCCTCTGGAGTCTTACTACGGCACCTGGTCAGCACTGGCATGCCTGACTTGCCCTGAGCCAGATTTGCTCTGGGATCTGGGTTTGTTTTGTTTGGATCCATGGGATGCCACAACTCAATGCTCACGAAAGCGCTATATACATAGGAGATCACAGAAGCTTTAGATTAATCATGTATATACCTTGAACCTGCCTTATGGGCAATTCCAAACCACAAACAGCAATTCTGGGGTATGTGTTTTCTTGCCTTTGCTTTCTCCGGGGCAGCTGCAATGACTGCCAGGCTCCAATGTTGAAATGGGTTGGATCTAATTGGAAAATGAATTTCGAGAGGCCATGGTGCATTTGCACAGGCTTTGAAGCTGCAAAAATGGACCAAAACCCAGAAATGTATCCATTTTGGGTTGTCTTTGAGG